TATTGACTATAGAAAAGCAGTCCCAAGGAATCATTTGGCTACTGGGATGTTTACGGCAGCATCGTTTATGACAAAAATTATAAACAAGTTAAATTTTCAAAGGAAAGGAATCGTGTGAGTCAAAGGTAGCGAATCCAGAGATGAGAGGTCAGTTACTTAAGAAATATATTTTCAAAGACAAGTTGGTCTTGGCCAGCTCTTGTCATATATTAAGTATGCACAGTACAATCCCACTCTGCAAAAAAAGGAGAGAATGGGATGAAAGGCATGTGAGGCTTGCTGGGGCTTCTGATTCTGCTTGGCTGCTGGCTGCGATATGACTAGTCTGTGTGACACGGACCCAAGCTTCTCACCCACTGTCTTAACCACTGGGCAGACACTGGGCAGCTTCCCTGCTGGGCTGGGGCAAGGTGCTAGGGGTGAACGCACGTGAATCAGACTGCAGCTCTGTCCTCAAAGGGACGGGGAGACACCCGTAGGCTCAATAAGGTGCTCACTTAACAGTGCAAGCCTGGGGTGGGGCATGGCGGAAGCACAGCCACTGGGTCTCTCCCCTGGCCCAGGCTCAGGGAGGTGTCTAAGAGAAGCAGCATTTGATCCTGGTTACCACAGCAAGAAGAGTAAGGGAGGGCGGTAAGAAGAAAGGCCGGCTGGCCAGCCTGCAGAGGGCAGTAGTGGTGGACACAGAGAGCCAGCCTGCTCTGGTGATGGGGCAGGTGTGGGAGAGAGATGGCGAGGTGAGGGGGACACTTGGATGCCTGGGCTCGGCATGACGTGGATAGAGACGGAGGCTCCTCAGGACATCTTCAGGGCCACAGGGTGAAATGCCACCAGGCCGGCACATGGGAGCTCAAAGCAAGAGCAAGTCTGTGGTCACTGAGGGTGGAGGTCCAGTCCAGCTCATACGGCCAGTCTCCAGCCTCAAACTGGACGAGACAGAGGGATGAAGAGGGGGCTGGAGTCCTAGACTGACCCTCCACTGCCAGGCAGAGTGAAGAGCCAAGTCCTTGAAGACCTAGGAGCAGCCACGTGGGAATATGTGCTGGGCGCTATGTGCACTCCAGACTCTTCCACAGCAGAAGACACTGACTAAGTGACAAGCTAGCCAGATAGGACAAATGTTTACCCCATTCCCAAACCGGCCACCAGTCATAGAACAGCGCATGTGAACCTCAGGGCAAGGTCTCTGCTGGCTGGGAAGGTTCACCCAGCCTGTGACAGCCCAGTCCCTACACAGAACCCCGCACAGGGCTCCACCCACCACACAATCCCCCAAAGCAGTCATGCCTTTCAAGGCTCGTACCTGTTACCGGGATTTGGGGGGAAACCTTAGGATTAATTTCAGTTCATCTAATGAGAATAGCTAAGAAAGTCTGAAGGAGAACCCTACTGGCTATGAATAGAAATTATAAAACCCGAATCAGTCAGAATAGGGAAATACTGAGCAAAATAAATGTATTAACTAAATATAATGCACAAGATTTCCGTGTGATGAAGGAGCACCACGAATGGGGGAGAAAAGGAATTTTGTGTCTCAAAATGTTTAAATCTTTGAAAGAAGTCTATTTGAAGCCTCGTCTCACATTACATGCCACATTAATCCCAGAAGTAAGTTCATTAATTCCGGAGGGAGTAAAAGGCCTGGAGTCTTAAGCAATGAAGGAACAATGGTGATGTTTGCAGGACAGCCTGTTCTCCCTAGACTGGGGTCCTCAAGGTGGAGCGAGACCTGAAAGGGTCTGTGAAGTGAAACTGCTTTCATAATATACAAAAACATTACCTGGCCTTCCCATGTTAGCTCGTAAGTGCGCAGTGGAACTTTTCAGAGACTACATGGCATGTGATCTTGCAAGTGACCAAGCACAGAAGCAGGTAGGAGACTCCAGCTGTCTTCTATGAAGGAGACATTAAAGAAGTCTGCAGAGAACGTAAACAATGCCTCTTCTCACTGAAGTACTTTTTGTTTTGGAAAATAAAGCTTTTATAAAAATATGCTATTTAACTCATAATAAGAATGTTTTTACTTTCAAAATAATTATCTTAAAACTTTCCATTTAAATTTTTATTAGGGTAAACATTAAAGATAAAACCTACATAAGCAAAAGTCTTCTGTGGTCCTCAATGATTTTTTATCAGTGCAAAGGGATCTTGAGACCAAAAAAGTGTGAGAATTTCTCAGACCATCCACTCTGTGGCAGGGCTGTGGTACCCACGTATGAATCCAACACCTGGCAGACCCATTCCTGCAGCTAGTTCAACACACATTTACTAAGTACCTACTGCGTGTCAGGCATTGTTGTAGGCACAGACTTGAACAACACACATAAAATATACCTGCCTGCCTTGTGTTAGAGTCAAGTGGACACAGTGATAAGTGAGAGAACGGACTGAACTACACATGGCAAAATTTCAGCAAGTTAAAACACACACACAGCGTAAACACCTAGAAACATCTGCGGCAAATAGGACAGACACCAGGTTAATATCTTTAATATGTAATGAGCTCGTACAAATTGATCAGACTCCAGTAGATAGAGCAAAGGACACTGACAATCCACAAAAGAGGACATAAAACTGTTTAACATGAAAAGGTGTTCAACTCTGCTAGAAATCAATTAAATGCAAACAAAAACAATGCTATTTTTTCATGATCGAATTGGCAAATATTTAGTCAGACGATAATACCCAATACTGGCAAGATGGACACACTGATCCTTGGTGGTGGTATAAGTAGATATAGACATTTCTGAAAACCTGTCAACATGTAATACAAGTCATAAGGGTTTTCATATTCTTTAATTCAGTAATCCCACTTCTGGGAACCTACCCTAAGGAGACAACTTGACATTGGAAGTAGCCTTATGCACAAAGATAGTCACCCATTTATAACAGTGAAAAGTTAGTAACATCATTAGTGATCAGCAACCAGCTCTCTTGTCCATCCAGTCGATGGAAGAGCGGCAGCCATTCCAAAATAAAATTAGTAATGGCAAGGGGAGGTGCCCACAATCTGCTCAGTGGAAACAGCTACACAAGACGGCACCATTACAGAAGGCATCACAACTATGTTAAAACAAAAAGCAAAGAAATTGGGGATGGGGAGTCCTGAAAGGAGAGACACCAACATGTGCTATTTTACTTTCTTTCCTCTACTTGACTTTCCAAACTTTCTCCAACATGTAGGTTCACGTGGAAATGAAAAGACCTCCTAGGTGGTGTTGCGTATGTAGGGAAAGAAGTGTCCCGTGGAGGTGAGGAGCCAGGCTCCCCTCAATCCCCACCGCCTCTATGCTGCGCTGACTGCCACCACACTTGACCTTCGGACCCTGAGAGCGACAGGGGAGAGCCGCCAGTCCCTGTGCGCCAGGTGGTTATGGAAGGCTGGCCCCCAGCCTCCTCCATGCACTGAGCCTTCCTTTCGGCCAGCAGGCTGCTTCCGCCTCCCCGTCCCAGGAGCCCCCATCTCGTGCCTTCCTCTAAGCCCAACACCAACGCATCCAAGCAGTGGTGAGCGGAGTCTGGCGGACTTGGTGGGAAGGGGGCTTCCACAAGCATCTCTTCCATCCTCCCCTGCTGCTCTCCCCAGGAGGTGGCCGCAATGTGTCCTTTTGTCCAGTCCCAGGACTTGTTCCCTAAGTAGACCTGGCCCATGCCCTGCTCTCCCTCCATCTGTCTGTTCATCCCCCTCTAGGTGGAGCTTACCTACCAGATGGGGTACCATGTGGCTCAGAGAGTAGCCACAACATAGTCCAGATGGGGTCAACACCACGGGACACAGAAACCTTCCCTTCGTGTGTGTTAACACTACTGCCTGTCCCTTTTATGAGTCAACACTTGTTTTAATTTTTAGAGAAATTTTAACCCCAAAATATATACAAAGCCTCTCCCTTCCCCTTTCTTCTTCAGCTGATCCCACCAGTCACTGGGGTCTCCCTCTGGGTCTGCATTGGCTCAGGCTCATCCTCTTTAGCTGGAGACTAAGGTGTCTTCCAAAAAGGTCACCATGGGCTCCACAACTCTCCAACATGAAGGTTGGAGACCCTCTCTCATCTGCTCCACGTTCCAAAGCGTAGGGAGCCATCAAGAAGGTCCTAAGTGCATAACAGCCCAAGCCCACAAGCTAAGCACCAAGAAACAAAACAAGTCACCAAGCCAAACAAAGGCAGAGCACCAGCTTGGACAGCCACAACACCCCATATGCAAAGGCCCCGGTCATAGGTACGACAGGGAGGGTGGCCAGCCTTTCCTAGGTAGCCCTGGCCCAGTGTGTACAGCAACACACTGAATCATGGTGCCTAATACAAACATTGTAGCCCTTTCAAAAAGCCACTCAGGTAGAGAATGGCGAGACAACAGAGTTCTCGCTCTGCTTCCATGCTGGGTCTCCTACCCTGGCTGGGCTGGGCCACAAGCTGGGCCCTGGTGTCTTTTCCCCTGGTGTCCTTCCCCTGAGGCACCTCTACCCGGCAGGTGCTGGTTTGCCAATGCAGCTGTTGGAGACAGAAGAGAACTGAGCACAAAGAAAAAGTGATCTGTATACCTCACACCAGTGCCCCCCGCCCCGAAGGGTAGCCCCACTGTGTGTCCTCCCTCCATTCATGAGAATGAGCACCATGGTCCCACCTGAACAGCCTTGGCTGGAGTCCAGGGAAACCTGAAGCCTGTATTCAGGCCATTGTTCAGCAGGGCAACTGGGCTAACAGAGTTTACAACGAGTGGGCGGCAGTGGTCTGCAAATCCCAGCAACCACTGGATACCCTTGATCTCTCAAGGCAGTGGTGCCTCAATGTCGCAGCCACTTTTCCCAGCATCATCAAAACTCTTGGGAAGAGAAGATGGGTCCCAGGATCCAATCTCTAGGGTCCCAAGACATATACATGCCTTTGGGTGGGTGCAGAGAGGGGCAGAAGAACCCAGGGTAAGATACCCCATCTCCCTCCCATGGTCCAGGCGTCAGGTAAATGTGGTTCATTTGGCATTGAAATATGGCAGGAGTGTCACAGTCCAAAGGGTTGGGCCAAGTTCAGGTTTTCTTTATCCCCCTGTGAAGAAGCACAAGGTATTTCAGAACTAGGACATGTGTGCCAGTTCTGCATGTAACCACACTGAGACCACGAAAGTCCACAGCTCTTTGCCCTTACAAATGGCACTGAGAACTGGCTGGAGTTGCCAGAGGCACACAACCCCCTGCCTGAAGTGCTTACGGATGTGCCCCAGAGGAGCTAGGCCTCCAAGTATGAGAGGGAGTCTGTCTTCTCCTGCACAAAGGCAGGTCATCTGACCGCAGGCATGGGGAGGGCATGCTACATGGCGCTGTGGAGACCTAAAGACGGCATGAGTGGCTGCAGAGATGGCCACATGGCATCTGAATGGAGACAGGAACAGGTCTCAAGCTGGGCAGCCACAATGACACGGGGCAGAGATGACTGACCACCAGCAGCTAATGAACACCAGGGAAGGTGGCCAGGCTTTCCTAGGCTGTGTTTGCATTGAACACCAGTCACTAGTGCCCAGCCCTCAGCCCGCTGTGGCCCTCAGGCATGGACATGCATGAACCTGCTGCCTGTGACAGCCTGATGGAACTGCTCGGTGGTCTGAAGGCCACCCTGACTTTATTTAGCAGGCAAGTTCCAGATTCCCCAGATTCCCCAAATTCCGGGTGCCATCAGAACACTGGCAGCTGACAGAGACGCGTTCTCTGAGGGATTCCCCCTGGCTGCAGTATCACAGCCATGGGCGCACTAGATGCAGACGCACGTGCAGAGCGAAGCTGCCCCAGAAATGCTAGAACTATGAACCTGGCTGTGACCACCTGGCCACTCACAGCAGGGAGGAGGCCCCTGCCTACTACACTGGGCCCTGGCAGGCCGGTGGTCATCTGTGGGCAGGAAGCAGACCCTCTCCAGGTACACCCACCAAGCCACCAGCCTAGCCAAACTAGCGTCCTTCTGTCCAGAGCTCAGCAGTTGAGAACGGGACAACCAGGAGAGGAGGGTCATGGGGGCCTGCAGAGGACAAGAGTAGGAGCATCCAGGGACCAAGGGCTGGGAGGGGCCAGCCCATGCGGTCCAGCGTGTGCTGAGGAGTGGGTGTGCCTAAATAGCAGGGCTATAGTCACCGGAAGAGTTGGGAGTACAAGCAAGAGGGAGGGGCGCATGCAGTGAGCTGCAGGTATGAAGCCAGCACATACAGGAAGCACAGCAGGTGCATAACCAGGGCGCCAGCAGGGATGGAAGGAAGGTCTCCTCATGGAACAGGTCTGGTGAGGCAGGAAGGAACGTCTTCAACAGGGGTGATGCTGCTGTATGCACATTTCTTCTACACAGCAAAGAGCCTACACTACCCGGGTGGCTGCGGATGCAACCAAGGAGGTGGCAGATTCTTAAAGGTTCCGAGCTCGGGTGGGCAGGGCCGGAGCTGGACTAGTCCCGTTTGAAGCTGGGTGCACAGGGCAAGGCCCAGTGCCTGTGGCTGCCAGCTGGCGACAAAGCATCTGCCTCTCTCGGACGGCCCTGTTCGAGGCAGAAGTCTTCCTGATTTGGGCACGCCGTGCATGCCGGAGTGGAGACTTGTAGGTTCTCCGCAACTCGGCCAGGAACCCCTGATAGTTGTTTCGCAAGGGGCTGTCAGGTTGCATGTGGGGGATAGCCCACTTCTCTGCCTCCCCCGTCAGTCGGGACACCAGGAAGGCCACGCGCTCGGCCTCGCCTGGGAAGCGAGAGGCCTGGAAGATCATGAACCTGTCCATCTGCATCAGGAACCCGGCCAACTGGCCCGGGTCTCCGGAAAAGGGCTCAGGCAGAGAGGTTGGAGGTGTGGTCATGGGTCGAGTCCCATTCGAGGCAATCGCAGAGATGGGCGGGGTGATCTGCAGCGCTCCCGGGATGCGCGCCCTGGTGCGTAGCAGGGTCAGCTCGGCCATCACGCTCTCCAGCATGTTGGTGAGGTTGGCCTTCTCCGCCCGCAGGGTAGAGGCCTCGCGCCTCAGCGCCGAGTTGGTGAGGCGCAGGGAGGTCAGGGTGTCGATCACGTCATCCATCTGGGCGGCCGAAGACGCCGCCGAGGCCGGGCTTTCGGCTTTGGACGTCTGCGGCTGCACCATGCTGGCCGGAGGGCAGCCACAGGCTGAGACAGACGGGGGGGCCAAGGCGGTAGGGTAACCAGTACCCGGGGGCTGAAGCAGGGGGCCCACGCAGAATCGGGGGGGGTGCAAGACGAGAG